CACATATTGGTTAGATTGACACTATGGCAAGACTTTGTTGATTTTTCATCAAAAGGCGTTTATTATGTTAAGGATAAGCGTGGTGATGAATATCAGTTGAGAACCCTTATTTATGATGCAAAATTTAAAGTTGGAGAGGAGACACCTAAAGTAATGGCTTGGATATCATTCCCTAATCTATTGCCAACATACTTTGTGAAAGAATGCTTGTTTTCTTTAGCTTCAGCAGTTGGTAAGCCACTTCATCTTGACTTGGCTACTGTGAACAAAACAAGGCCCAGTTGTGCTCGTGTGAAAGTGTTGGTTGATCTTTTGGCTGACCTTCCTAAGAAGGTTAGAATGGACATAGTGAATGAGGATTCAGGAGAGGTAAGAACTGAATGGGTAACTATAAAGTATGACTACCTTCCAAAGTATTGTAAGGAGTGCAAGTTGCAAGGACATGACATGATGGAATGCTGGAGGATACATCCTGAACTAATGGTAAGTAATACTGCAGAACATAAGGTTAATACAACAGTGGAAAAGGGAGTTAATAATCAGCAAGGTAGAGGATCAGCCCCTCTAATGATCTTATCAAGTGGAAAGGTTGTTGGAAATTCAACTACTCAATGGAAAGAGGTAAGGGACAGTAGAGGAAAAGCAAAAGAAAATCTGACTGAGGGAGTGATAACAAGTGGCCAAGAAATGGTACCAGTACAACAGAAGAAGTCAGTAGTTCCCAACAGTAAACAGGTGCAGACATCAAATAAGTTTGCAGCATTGGAAGAAGCAGGATCAGGGGATGTGCAGGGTAAAGAATTGGCAATCATTGAGGAGGTACAGGAAATTAGTCATGTAGATTTATCCTCTTCTGCTAAAAGAGGAAAGCAAGCTAGGGCCAATGACAATGCAGGAAAAAAGCAGGTTGATAAAGATAGTCAGGCAGCTACAGGAGCAGCAGCTCAAACAAATCCTAAAAGTCCAGTTACAGAGAAACAAGACACAGTACAACAACAGTTACAGAAAAAAGGTAATACAACAGGAGTATTGAATCCTGCAGCACTAGATTTTAACATGAATTCAGCTGGTATTGGATCAACTAATGGAGGAGGTGTAGCAAACAGGAAAGGTAATGGAAAACTTGAGAACAAGGAATCCACAGCTCAATGGGTACAAAGAGCTTTTCAGGGCAATGAAGTGGATAACCTTGTAGGAATTAACACATCTTGTCAGGACATTCCATCACAGGACACTTTGGTAGATAGGGACCTATCTAACAAGCCAGAAATCCAGACAAAAGAAAATTTAAATCAAAAGTTGAATGAAAAAATTCAGTGGAGTGGGGGTAAATTATGGTCAGAACAAAGAGAGATTGATTCTGATGAAGATGAAGTACCAATAGGTGCACAACATGATGAGGAACCTATGTATGAAGACAAAGAGGAAGAAGAACAAAGCATAAATGACAAGTCCATTAATACAACTACCAGCAAAGATGATATCATACAACCAAAGGAAAAAAATGGGGCAACTGAAATAAAGGATACAAAAGGCATGAAGGAACAACTACCCACTTCTGGAAAAGCAGGGGAAGGAAGAGGTAGTGATACAGTGGATCCAGGAGGAACAGGGGCTGATGCAGTACAGATTTTAATTTTGGATGACCAGCAAAATAACACCATAGAGTTTAAAGAAAAATTGCAGTCCAAACAGCAAACAGAGGCAGCTGAAGTCACTGTTCCATTGGAACAGGGGCAGATAAAGACTCTAAAGAAGGGGGAAGAACATGCATTGATTTTACACCATCAGCAACAATTAGATAAAATCAATGAGCAACAAATGGAGAATACAAAAGGAGGAGGTCTCAGAACAGGGCAGGATATGGATGAAGAATCAACAGCACAAAATTTTCAGAACATAGGTAGGCAGGGTGACTTATCTCCTAGAGTTCTTGAAAAGGTTAAATCTACAGCAAAGAACAAAAAGAAGCAGCAAAAAGAAACAGTTGCACCTTCAGGAGGTGTTCAGACAAGGAGGACCTTATCTAAATCATTTGCTCAATAATGGATGCTCTAATCTGGAATATAAGGTCAGTCAATACCCAACAAGCTTTTGAAAGGTTGATCAAAATGCACAGGAAACATCACTATGACTTTATTGGCTTGATGGAACCTATGCAACAAATGAGAACACTGGAAAGATATAGAAGCAGAATAGGTTTTGCACAGGCAATTGCTAATGTATCAAATAAGATATGGGCTTTCATTGATGAGGTATATGAAGTTACAATAATGTATAATATGGTTCAGCAACTAACTTTAAGGCTGTTTCACACAGAAAATCATGTGGAAATAGTCCTTACACTGGTGTATGCTAAATGTGATGCCATTGAAAGGATTGAACTGTGGGATTCATTGTATTATATGGCAAATGACATGACAGTACCATGGTTAGTTGGAGGTGACTTTAATGTCATATGGGATGAAGAGGAGAAATTTGGGGGACTTCCAGTTCATATCAATGAAGTTGATGACTTCAGACATTGCATAAATACATGTAACCTGAGTGATCTTGGATTTAAGGGCAGTATCTTTACATGGTGGAATGGCAGGGCAGAAGAAGACTGTATTTTCAAGAGATTAGAC